TTGAGATGCTCCATCTATGATCTCCACACCAAGTTCTGCACAGAGTTCTCAAGCAAGCAGGAGAGCTTCATAGTATTAAATTATGCAAGGAGGAGAACAGAAGATTTCATAGGAACCAAGAAGAAAAAATGTATCATTTATAAAGGACACTGAAATAATCCATAGAAGCTATGAGGGAGGGGGCAAAAGAAAGAGCTTGGTAAATAGAAAACATAAAATGTGATATTAGAAATTAAGTATATCCATAATCACAATTATAATTAATGTAAATGTATTCAATCAACCAAAGGGAAAAGGCTCTCAGACTGCAGATTGGAAACCAAACTAGATTCAGACATGCTGTTTATAAGATACACATCTAAAACATGGAAACTCAAAAGTAAATGAATCATAAAATAGAAACATAACAGCAAGAATTAACCAAAGAAAACTACTACAAGGATTTTAATAATAGTCAAAATAACACAGAAATGCATATTAAGCATAGAGAATTCATAAGCTATAACAACCTATAAGCAACATTCAGAGGCTTAGGATAGGTTAAAAAAGCATAATTGATAAATCCACAATCCCACTATGTGATTTTTAAACAAATCTCTCTCATAAAATACTAGCTGAAACAAATGAAATATTGGTAAAGATAAAGACTATTTGAATAATACAATTAACAAATATAAATCATATATATAAATGGCCATCCTAGCACCTGTAAGTGGACATAATAGCTCCTACTACTCTCTGCCCTGCTCATGCCACGGCAAATACACTGGCTTCTTTGCCGTCCATCTAAAACACCGGGCACACTCCTGCCTCAGGACCTTCACACAGCTGTTCCCTCTACCTGGAAAAGCTCTCTAGCCCCATATTCATATGTTTCATTCCTTTATCATCTTCAAATCTTTGCTAGAATCAACTTCTCAGTGAGGCTTACCCTAAGAATCTTACTCAAATTTCAGCTCCTCATGCCTCAGCTAATCCATTTTACCCTCACCTATTTTTCCCCTAATGAATTTACCACCTTGTAACAATCTCTGCAATTTACTGATTGATTATATTCAATCTCCAATCTCCTGCAGAATATAAGCTCTACAGAAGAAAAGACTTCTGTTCACTGATGTGTTTCCAGCACCCAGAACAGGGTCTGGAACCTAACACATGCCCAACAGATATTTGTTGAATGAATAAATGAAGAACAGAAATTAAAACAAGTACACAAGAGGATAAATAGATCCAAAAGCTTGGTTTAGGCAGCACTGATCACAAACATAAAGATGAGAAGGACAAATGGAATTAGGAATGAAAAGGGCAACATAAATGCAGAGAGTTTTAAAATTCACAAGGGAATAATAATAATACCCATGATAATATGAATGCCAATATTTGTTAAGTGCTTATACATGCCAGATGCTGTTCTACTAAAACATTTTATGCGTGTTTTCATTTAATCTTTATGCCACCGCCAGGACAGTTACTATCACTGTCTCTATTTTACATATAAGAAAACTAAGGTACAGGGTCACATAGCCAGTGGTTCCTGCAGCTGGGATTCGAAACCACATCCTCTGACTCCAGAACCTGCACTCTTAAGTACACGCTTTTGTTTTCAAATAGAGAATACTATGAACAACTTCATACCAATATGCATAAACTTAAAAAAAAGAGAGACCATTTTCTAGAAAAATTAAAAAGATACAGAAAATCTAAATAAACCTACACCATTAGAGAAACTGAGTCAGTACTCAGAAAGCTACCAATAAATAAATGAATAAATAAATAACAGCAAGGCAAATCTTTTACAGGCAAATTCCACAAGATCATCAGATAACTTCCATCTTACCCATATCGTTTCAGAGAACAGAAAAAAAGGAAGCTCTGCCCAACTTATTTTATGAGGATATTATATAATCTGGTACTAAAGCTCAACCGAGGACAACAGAAGACAAAGAAGTTAGACATTCTGACTTCTGATCACAGATGAAGAAATTCCACTAAAATATCAGCATACCAAATGGAGCAATTTATTTAAAAATAATCACAATCAAAATGCAAGGATGTTGTAATGTTTGAAAATCTATTAATGTAATTCTCTCACTGACATTTTGGGCTGGGTAAGTTTCTGTTGTGGGTCTGGGCTGTGCATAATAGGATGCTTAGTGCCATCCCTGGCCTTAACCACTAGCTGCCAGCTGTACCTTCCTCCCAGCTGTGACATCCCAGCTGTGACAATCAAAAATGTCTCCAGACGTTGCCAAGTGAAATTTTCACTAGATGAGAATCACTGATGTGGAGGCTGCTGAACAGTCTCACGGACTGTGTTTCCACTTAATGGAACCTGGATCAACGGTACAGGCCTTATGAAGCACAGGCCAAACTGCTGCATTTTGCTTCAAACAAAATCAATCAGAGTTTTCACTCATCCTAGAATTCAAAGTGTTATATACCAAAAAGCCAATACTAAGTCCACCTTATTATTCCTCTGTATGAAAATGAAGTATACCACCACAGGAAGCTGGTTCCAAATTCACTCAGTGCTTAGAACCCACATATGAATTACATGAGGACAATTTCGGTCACTTTCATTGTGACATAATTTTAAACTTACAGAAAAGTTGCAAGAACACTAGAGGAATTCTGTGTCTCATATATCACCTTCTCAGACTCAACAGTGATTTCTATTTTTCCCTATTAGGTTATTTTCTCAGTATATGTAAAAATATTTCCTGAACCATTGCGGGAGCAAGTTGAAAACACTGCCCCTTTTTACCATTAAGTACTGAGCATTTCCTATGAACAAAGATATCCTTTACATAATCACAGTACAAGTATCAAAGTCAAGAAATTTAACATTGATACAACAGAATTATCTCATTCACAGCTCAGATTTCATCAATCGGCCCAATATTGTCCTTTATAGCTATTTCTTCTCCTGTCCAGA